CCAGCCCCTAACCCTTTCTTTACTAAAAGCTCTGGTGGGTAAAGATGCTTGCCACAAAAGCCTGACAACCTGGGTTCAAGCCCCAGAGCTGACATAAAGAAGTATGAAAGGAGAAATCCCATAGCACACGCTGTCCCCTGACCTCGACACACACACCATGCACGCCCCATCACAGAATAACATTGTCTCATTTTATTTTATTTTATTGTCATCTGGAAATCTTCAGATTCTGAAGTGCTATGGTTAAAAAGGTACAAAATTCTACATTGAAATGTACTCTTTCTGTTTCAGAACTTGTCACAAAGCGATCAATAAAGCCATTTCAACAACTAAGGTAAATTGAATCAAGACATTATTCAGGGTAGGAGAAGACAGAGCATGAATTTAAGGATATTAGAAAAGGTACAAAGTTTAATAATGGTTGAAGGACTTATTCAGGAATATTTAAAATAACTTCCGAAGGCTGGCGAGATGGCTCTGTGGGGACAGGTACCTGCTGCCAAGCCTGATCCCTGGAGTCTACCAGGTAGAACAAGAGAAGCAACTCCTACAGACTGTCCTCTGACCTCCACACTCACACCAGGGTACAAGCGTGCATACACATACACATGCACACACAAAACAAATGTGTTAAAAATAATATGAAATATTGGGAATCAAATATAGATTCTACTAGAGCTTTTAAAATAACTATGTTTCTTAAAATGTGAATATTATAAGATACAGAGCATTCTTTGCATTGAAAGCAAAGATGTAAACTTTTAAAGAACAAGTTTAAAATGTGCGTAGGGCACAGGAGTTCATACAGTCTTTAAGGATGGGGGGAAGCAAGGAAGAAAGGAAGGAGCGGAAAAAGGGGGAGGGAGGATGGAGGGACAGAGAGGGGAGGAAAGAAAACTCTGGGTTAGGTCTTAGGACTTCTGCAAGATGAACTGAAAATGGGCAGCTCCTTCAGACCCGGTTTTAGGCATGGACTGCTGGAATGGAGCAAGAGTTAATATTTCTGGTTCTGAATGAATTTGTGGACTCTGACCCTACAAAGAATTTACAAGACTACAACCACTTAGAATAGCGGACAGTGAGCTAATCAATACCTGGGGTCAGCCTCGCTGAGTGCAGCCATCCTATCAACTCTCCCGGGAGAACCACTAGACAGGATTTTCTTTTTGGTTCCCCAGAAAGACTTGGGGGCTAAACCTAGGAAGACTAACCAATTGTATTTACCACTCAAAGACAAATTTCTTCACAGGAGAGCTAGCAAGATGGTTCCGTAGGTAAAGGCACGTGCTGCCAAGTCTGATGACTTGAGTTCCACCCCCCACGTGGTGGAAAGAGAGAACTGACTCCCACAAGTTGTCCTCTGCCCATCACACGTGCACTGCGGCATGCATGTGCAAACACACACACACACACACACACACACACACACAAATAAATGTAATTTAAAATTTCCATCATTGAGGCGGGTGGTAGTGGCACACACCTTTAATCCCAGCAGGCGGATCTCTGAGTTCAAGGCCAGCTTGGTCGACAAGAGCTAGTTCCAGGATAGGCAGCAAATCTACAGAGAAACCCTTTCTCAAAAATCAAAATCAAAAACAAACACACACACACACACACAAACAACCAACAAAAAAAATTCCATCATTGAATATATCAAGTTGAATGCATCTAATTGGCCTGTCTCATGCAAAGAATTGGAAAATTCTTTACATATTGTAGAGCTATTACTTTTTTAATAGTAAATGTACAAGGAAGCTATTTGAGCAGATACAAATGCAAGCCCCAAACACCACTTGTTTCCTTTGCCCTCTCTCTCCCTCCTTCTACAACCTCCCTTCTTCCCTTTTCAGCCACTCCTTTGAGGGGCAGAAAGTCATCTACATAGGATGGATGGCTCCAGCACTTACTTCAGTGCCTCCACCACTTTAAAAACTGACTTTCTGGTCCTCAAGCTTTCAGAGACAGTGAGGCTATTTAGAGCAGAAGTCAGACCCGCCCCATCCCACTGCCTTTCTGCAGGAGCCTGTGATAAGGGGCAGCACAGAAGCTGCTGGAAAGCTGCTGCTCATTTTGAATTTCACTGCTCAAGTTCTCGGGAGACCAGACCCCCCTAAATCCTTAATGCAGGGCTGCTGAGGAGCAGAGACAATGTGTGCAACATGTGGAAACACGCCTACATACAGCAGGCTCCGATGATCAACACTGACCAGCTTCAACTTTCACCGCTCTTTCAGAACAGCCTAAAGGTGGCCCCTATCTTCCTCTTGGCATATGTCAACTTGTGGCATGTCTTTCCATTTCTTTCTGGTTTCTTTTAAAACAAATGATTTGTAAAATTACTACTTTTCCTGTCTTAGCAGATGTTTGTGTGTGTCTAAAATATTCCCGAAGCATTAAAACTGGGCAAAAAATACACACCAAATTAGGACTCTACAAAGCCTGCAAGTTTACTAGGGGCATTTGAAACTATGCTAGCAAAGCCCTTAACCTGTCCTCAGTACTGCAGTGAAACTTGTTAATGTAAAGAATCTATGGTTTGGCTCTTTTAAAGTCTACCCAAATTAAATTGTTAAAATAACTTGTTCCCCATCCCATCAGATTAGCAAACATTTAAGAAGTAAACAAAGAGCCCTACCATAGTAAGGATATGGGCCAGTGGTATTCCCACAATGCCTATGTTTGCATGAGTATAACCCTTGGTCTCGAGAGCAACAGCAAGTGTATCACAGTTTTAAAGGGATTCACAGGTGCTTTCAGCAAGGTAGGAATACATTCTCACCCCCAAAAGAAGCCTATGTATAGGAATGCTTATTATCTCAGAATTTACAAGTTTTAAAGAGGGAGAGAGAGAAAAAGAGGAAGAGGGAGAAGGAGGAGAAGGAGTAGAAGAAAGAGAAGGAGGAGGGAGAGGAAGAACAGGAGGAGGAGGAAAGGAGGAGGAGGAGAAGAAGCAGCAACTTTAGGTCCATCAATGAGGGAGTAGATAAAAACACAATTTAATGTCCACCAATAGGGAACTAGATAGATATATGTTATAGCCATTCCCACAGAATATTATGCAGCTATTAAAATCTATGCTAACAAAAAGGAGATGGCATTGGTTAATAAATAACCAGGGATACCGTAGTACTGGCTACAAGTATAACTTTGGTGTGCTGAAGTGCTTCTCAAGTGGAAATCGCAAGAGGAATTTACAATAAAGAACTAGAATTACACATGGTAATCAAAATCCATCCCAAGGCTTGAAAGGACACAGTGTTAAGGCTTGCAGCCCACATCCTAATTTGAAAAGAAGTGTGGGGTGAGCTCAGTGCTGATTCAGCTCCTTTTAATGAATGACAGGGATAGGAAAGTGGATAATAAGACTAAGAGTTGTGTCTGAGGCTGATACACAGCCTCTTTGCACTTTGACTTGGAGGAGGGCTGAGTGATTTGCATACTATATGCACCAATGCTCTCTTGCCTAGCTAGGAAGTTTTGGCAGATCTTGCAGCGATGAGGGAAGGTCTGGAAATGGAAAGGTAAAGATTCACAACCTGCCAAAACATACAGTTTTGCTCGGGGAAGGAGGAAACGAAACTGCGCACACACACGCACAAGCACACACACACCATACACTCACCTGCAGATACATATTAAAGCACAACACACTTCGTCACCCCCATGCTAAGCAGAAATGACTCAATATGCCACCTGGCCTCACCTCGATTCAACAGTTATTATCATCGTGCACTTCATTCTTAGTTTATAAACTCCCAGTTTATTCCCAGTGCCCACCACCACCACCACCACCAACAACAACAACAACTAGACAAGGACAGCAAGCATACCAATGTTGTTCTCCTGCTCTCACAACTTTCCTCTATGTTAATTCTCTTGTCAGTGTTTTCAGTGTCTAACCTAACCCCACAGACAAGAAGTAGAGTAAGTCTTCCTTGGGGGTATCTGTGTGTCTCCTGTGAAACACTCTTTTACTCTAGAAAGCAAGGAGTAAGGCAAGTGTCTGTGGCTGGAAGAAAGGCTATCTTCTGCTCAAACCTGTTTTAATCGGGCTTGCCTGTGACCAAGGCTCTATCTATGCACTGCCTACTGCCAGCCCGGGTCCCACTGCCCTACAGCAAAGCAGACTTCTTCCTACAATCTGAAATTCCATGAAGCTAACCCGGTGAAATTACAGTGCAATAAAACAGACACCATTTAAAATGTCCCCTCCAATGTCAAAACTCTCAAACATAAAGGTGTCCACTTGACTGACAGTAGCAATCTACATATTTGTTTGCAGATGTCACCGTGCAGAATAATCTGTGTGTGTGTGTGTGGGGGGCTGTTCTTGGCTGTTTTCTTGTGGTCAGTTTCAGGAAATACAGGCATTTCTTGGTTCAGAGCTCAGATTGCAAATCAATATGTTTTAGTGGCTTAAAATATTTTTTTTCTAAGCTGGAAGCGCGCTAAGTTAATAATTAACCGTGAGCATACCATCACTTCTGCTAAAGACATTTTCTGCACACAACCCTAAATCAGTCGTTGTTGTGTTAAACAGAATAGACGAGCTGTAATAAAAGCTCTCCAAGAAACGTGATCGTTTTCATTGGGTCACCCGGGAGCTTTTCTGCAGCTTCTTGGCAGACAGAGCGGGCCGGTAGGAGAGAGCACCCCAAACAAGATACCACCCAGAGCCCAATTATTTTTGTCAGAAAGTTGCCTAAGATAACTTTAGGGTTCCCAGATTGAGTAATTCTTGTGTCCAAGGTTACTATCTGCAGGTTTCCACGACGTTGATTATTTTTTTAAGGTGCCCTTATTAACTGCACTACAAGGGTTCTGATTTGCACCTCTCTGGCGGCGGCGGCGGCAGCGGCGGCTGCTGGCGGGGGGAATGAAGAGCAAGGCGCCAGGGCTGCGGCAGCCTCTCAGGCCAAGTAGACGGCTAGGGGCGAACACTACCCCCCTCCCCGGTCCCACCCTTCCTGGCACCCGCGCGCCCCGCCGGTACTCACCGCTGTCCAGCCGCGCGATCTGGGGCAGCCGGTAGGTGCTGACCAGCAGGTCGAGCGGCACAGCCACTGGGCTCCACTTCACATCCTTGAGGCTGCAGCCCAACGAGGGCACCGGGTCCATCTTCCCCGCCTCCCCTGGCCCCGCGCTCCCTCTCCCGCTCCACCGCTGGCTGGCGGACGGCTTCGCTCTCCCGCCGCGGGCAGCCTGGCAGCGAGGCACAGCGGCGGGGACGC